GACTGGCAATGGAAAAGTAATGGCTTTGATGTCAAGGCTTCTCCATGCCCTAGGTGGGACGTTATATTGAATGGAAGGATACTTCGCCGTATTGTTCACTTTATACCAAGCAGCACATGGAGACTTAATTGTTATGAACATGTTTTAAGCTCGGTCTCTTCTAAATATATGTATTTAGCACTCCCAAATACACAATTTTGATATTTTAAGAGGTGGGCTTCAACTCTGCCTGTCACAGCCAACCAAGGATGAGTAGGGATACAACGTCCCCACACAAAGACCGGGATACTAGAAAAACATTTCTCCTCACATAGGAATCGAACTCAGGTCTATGCATGTGACGGCGAAGCACCTAACCACTATACCACAGACGTCCGTCTAATACTCAAGAGGTTTTAAAAGTCAACACCAGCGCCAACTGGATTCTTTTTTTTTTTCAAAGTTGTAAAAAAAATAAACGGAGACTTGGGTAAGATGGCGTTAGAAGTGCGGCCAAACCTGTTCAAGACGACCGTCCATTGTGGAGGAGAAAAGTGATAATGTCAGGCAGGGGTCCTCTTGGGCAGGAGAAGTGGGAAGCATTTAGTATTTACATCGATAGGATGGATCATAATCATTATATTTTCAGAATTAGATGAAGAGCCTTCGGTAAACTACGAGTGAGATGTAAGATAAGGATGTCATCTCCGTTCACTTGATCACAATAGTGTATAGCCTATCATTTTCCTCCTCCTCCTCCTCCTCCTCCTCATCGCAAAATCAATCTTTGTCACTTCCGCCAACTCTGACCTTCCCTCAGACCCCCCTCCCCCCTCATCCGCCTCACTCACTCACTCACTCACTCACTCACTCACTCACTCACTCACTCACTTTGATATTAAACAATTACTTACTTTTAAAAAATTCTCTATTTCACCCTCCCTCAAGATTTACTTTCTATATAACTGGTTTCCAGGTTTGGTTGAGAATCAGCGAGGGTACTTTTATTATAAACATTTAAAGTTGTGTGAAGAAATTTTCATACCATAAGATTTACGGTTTCCCATAACGGTCTTGCTTTTCCACACTATTTAGCTCCACTTGTCAAAGGTTCGAAAGCAATTCCTTTCTCCTTGCTCCTTGCTCCTTCTTTAATTTTTTTCTCATTGAAACTTGTATTTACTATTATTTGGATAGCGGACTTTTTCATCGTGGGATTGCAGGTTTGGGGGTTCGTAGCCCAGCTCAGCTCAGCCTGATGTCGTTTCCTTGGCAACGGTATTTTACATGGATTTCCCCTTTTTGGCTCTGTCCTGTCAGGGATGGAGGTTAAATTCAGAGGTCTTGCCTCTTAAATAACCTTCCAGTGTTACAATGGGCGCTAAGATATTATATAATTTAGAACATTTGATGTCTTTTCCCCTATCTATAGTCTACTTATTTTCTTACTCCGATTGATTTTTCCTCCCCATTTACTCTTTATAACCCTACCTTTCTATACCCATTTTCGGCCATTCACTTCTCTCTCTGTCTCAACCCCCCCC